GGTTTCCCTTCGTTGACAGCCTCCTCAATGAATCGAATAGCTCCTGGAAGTTCCATCCAGTGTTTCAAACTCAACACAATACCTCGCTTGGTTGGATAGGCCGTGCCACCCGGGTATACTTCATACTTCCTCACATGAATGTTCAATACACCATTCCATGTCTTGACTGTCACATAGACGTTGTCCCCCAGATGTAAATGGCATCTGGGATCCTGTAGTTCTGTCATCTGCTTGTCAGTCTCTACCCCCAGCAATGTCATCGCTTGTATCTCTCCACATTCCTGCAGTGCTTTGCAGAATAGGGTGTAAGCTTGAGGTCCCCGTCTAGGAAGCATTTCTAACAATTCTCTGACCCGATCAAAAGACGTCCGTGGTTTCTCAATAATCTCAGCTTTCATGAAACAAGTAAGCACACCAAACTGCATCAGTTTGTCGACCACATCTTCTACACGTTGTATACTTGTCACGAGATCGGAGCGGTTCTTCCTAAGGATCTCGCGGTGAATGGTTTCCATCTTCGAGGTAAACAGTTACCAGTAGAGTCAAGAACATAAGATCCGTACGATGTCTCTGGCGACTGAAGTCAGAATGATATGGAGGGCTGTTCGGGGGGGACTTTATATACCCACCCGAGTCTAAAAATAGACACATTAAGTGTGCTCACAATAGATCTCAACATAGACCTGAGACAAAGACTCATCATCTAAAAATAGACACACCAGGTGTTCACACCATAGATCTCAATATACAATAGAGAGCAGTGACTCATCATCTAAAAATAGACACACCAGGTGTTCACACAATAGATTTTGACCCTATAAAGCCCCATAGCTAAAAATAGATTTTGACGCCATAAAGGCCTTGATACTACTGTTATGGTACATAGCTTAACGTGTGTCATGAAATTCTTTTAGAATATGAAGTAATTAAGTAGCTTCCATCGCTCGAACTGACAAAGTTCGCGAAGCCAAATTTAACTGATTCAATTAGTTGCACTTAGCAATAGCAATAAATAGTTTTTTTTGTTTTGTTTATATTCCTTTATCTTCCATTATTTACAGATACACGTCCACCGTTCCGCAGCTACTACTACTACTACCACCACTACCGCTGCTACGACGCTACGACGACTACTACTACTACTAGTGGTAGACCTACTACAAAAAAAAGAGACTGTTCCCCACATGGGCACAATGTGTCAAAAGCCATTTCGGGGTGTCTCCCGACGTGATGTTGTTGGAATATTGTTAAACGCGAGGTAAATCCCAACTCACTCACTCACTGTATTGGTGTTCATGTTTGCTTATTAGACAATGGTTAATTCTGCGTAGGTTCGCAGCTATTATAGACTTATAAACTTGTGGAGGGATTTTTAACTACTGTACTACGTGAGCATACTTTGTTGTTTGTGTGAATTATAGAGTGTGCGTATTTGAAACATAATATTCCACTTACTGTTTTGAACTGTTATGTATACAATGTAGGAAGTATGAATGCACACTGGGTTGATGTGTACACCACTAAACTATGATTATGTGTCGTGTGCACAATCTACTTTGGTTACTTATTCGATTGTTAATATCTTCTAATAATTGTAAGCTTTTGCATATTATTTTTTTGATTATTTACACAGATCATTCTGTGATTGTTGTGTAATAAACTCCTTGTTTATTTTTACTATTGTGTCGTGTGGCTTTTGCTATATAGTCAGACCTCCTGCCAAGCCGGTTGGTTCTCCAACTCGCATTTGTAATATGTTTGCTCTCACAAAATTGAGAGTGAATATGCGTACTATATTAAACGTAGTAATACTCTAAAGCATACACTACCATATTTCTTCGTTGCGACGTGATGGGAAAATTTACAGAACCATGCACGTGATGTTTTTTTTTAGGAAATGCGATAGGGCCCTTGACACAAGCAATAAGCCTTATGTGTTCTTATTCAGTATGTGGGTCAGACATTCCTCTGCACAATCACAACATCTGTCGACAATACAGTCAAACCGCATTAATCCCAACATCTGAAGTTATGTTCAATCCACCGGCCGACAGATTTAAGTAAAAACAAAATACATCTATCAGATTTCCACTTCTTTTATTACACAGAAGAGCTAGCTAACTCTACATCACTTTCGGCGATTTTTTCACTGGAGCGGAGTTTGTCCTGCCTCAGGACCTGAAATGAAACATTAAATGCATTCGTTGTGAATCACAGTTAAGGGAAGACAATTCGTGCCCACACGTACAAGCACCTTTTTATTCATGAGAAAATCTTTCAACTCACAATAGAATTACACGACGGTTCTAGTTTAATTACGACTGGAAAACAATCTATAATTTCATTATGTTTCTATTAGAGCTTGTTACAAATATACATATACATATACACCTTTAGTTACAATACAAAATAAGGAAAAACACTAAATCCATCAAATACACCTATATGTAATGTCTTTTCAATGGAGAAAAACTTGACAGATTATCCATAACGGAACCGTGTTTATGATATCCCGGACCGATAGGTGCAACTGTCAGTAGAATATGAGTGTGTGAGGGAATGAGTTTAGTTTCACACCGCACTCAGCAATATTCCAGCTATATGCTCACGGTCTTTGAATAACTAAGTGTGGTCCCTACATTCGAGTGATCAATAGCATGAGCATCGATCTACCCAAATGGGAATCGATAACATGTGTCAACCAAGTCAGCGAGCCCCCTCCCGTCACAAGCACAGCAGGATCTGATAAAATACATATTTAAACGCTATGGACATAAGGTGCAAACTGTAGACAGGTGGAAAGGATTGAAGCAGACATTCAGTTTCAAACTCACCTACTGCTGACTTTGACAGTCCGATTCCTTCTCTGTTTCATCCTCTTCCCCCATGTCATCTTCAACACAGCAGAAGAACTTGATTTTGTTAAAGAGGCGGTTGTTCTTGGACCGATTTTGTCCGGCGAAGATCATATGGGTTGCATTCCCAAGGGCCTCTGTGTACTGGGTGTTGAGGAGGACATCATATTCGCTTGGTAGTGCTTCTTTTTCACACTAGGGCTGAGCAGAACTTTCCACACATCTTCATCATGGATCTTAATGGATTCATAAGAGATGATCTCGAGCAAAAGGTTCTTGGGTAGGTCACTCACTTTACATCTAGTTGTATTTTGACGCATAATTCCATCTGCGTCAAGGGTTTTCATCAGTTCGTCTCTGGAAACACTGGTGACTGTGGGTTTAAAACGTTTCGTGTTGTCTGTCTTAGCAGCAACTTCGGAAGGACGCTTGAAAGAATCGGTCATGGTTGTTGGAGATACTTATTGGAGTAACTTCCAAAGAGTGTAGTTATGCGCTAGAGATAGTGCAAATATAACACGTTGAATGTTTTGAGCTTTCTTTTATACCGTTTTTCGTTGTGCGTCACTGATAGATAAAAAGTGTTGTTCATGTGGTCACGATGTCGAGGACACATCCATGTTCACACAATGGATGACGTCAGAGAACATTTTTTCGTTTTACTCTGGTCGTGACGAACGCGACTTGATTTTAGGGTTAGGAAGGAGATACCCCAGACTGCTTCCCAACAGACTTGTCCATAAGTTTGAATTTCCTCGAGCCAAAGATAAGTTGACAATGCAAGTAATCACAACGATATAGATGATAAAGATTTGAGAGAAAAAATACAGTTTCCGTCTTTGCTATTCTTTTGGCAAATAGTCTCCAGGGCTCTACAGATCTAATCCTTTCGATAGGTTGTGCCTCAACGGTGTCTTCCATTCTTGTGAAACCATGATCTCATAGTTTGTAGCTTTATTACTTTAAAACTACATGGTGTCAAACATGTACTTTTAAAAAGAAACAAACCATGGAATTAACTATTAAATGCTTTTGAAAACTTCTTGTTGTATGCATAGTTACGTTTTTTGGTTTTATTTGTTTTGCTCAAAATAATTAAGAAACCAGTTCTATCTATTTGTATTCAATGTCTATAACTTAATACAGCGAGCTCATGTTCCTTTAACATTTGTTTTTTTCCCCAGCCTCAAGACATGAAAAGAAGTGGTATCACATCTCCCCCCCCCCCCATCCCCATCCCCCCTCTCTCCCTCCTTCAACGATAAACAATAAACATTTCTAGTAGCATATACCCTTATATGGAAAACATACTACTGCAACCGTGTCTTTCTCGGCAAAATGGTTCTATTTTTTTAACTGTTGGAACACGACAGATTTAACAGCTGACATTCCAATTGAGGGTGACTGATGGAATCCAGACCCCGCGAGACAAATCGCGGAAAACGTAGTAGGACTTCCATATACGGGCATTCGTTACTATGCACCGATTCTGCTTCCTCAAGGCTCCGTTAATGAATTGCAATTGGTGCAGCGTGATTACAGAATGCCCTTTGACCTTTCTGACCAGTGATACCGTGCACACCTGTGAGCGTTCAGTTCATGAGTTGGAAACAGTTCCCCCTCCCGGCGAGACTAATCGCGGAAAACGTAGTAGGACTTCCATATACGGACATTCGTTACTATGCACCGATTCTGCTTCCTCAAGGCTCCGTTAATGAATTGCAATTGGTGCAGCGTGATTACAGAATGCCCTTTGACCTTTCTGACCAGTGATACCGTGCACACCTGTGAGCGTTCCGTTCATGAGTTGGAACACGGCAGACCAACAGCTGGCATTCCAATGGAGTGTGACTCATGGAATCTAGCCCCCGCGAATATCGCGGAAACGTAGTAGGACTTCCATATACGGGCATTCGTTACTATGCAACGATTCAGCTTCGTTAGGGCTCAGTTAATGAATTGCATTGGTGCAACATGTTTTTAGAATGCCCTTTGACCTTTCCGACCTGTGATATCGTGCACACCTGTGAGGGTTCATGACCTATGCCTATGAACTTGCCCTTGATGCTGTCATCGTTCACGTGACTCCCCGTCTCGTATTAACCGGAAGTCTGATGACGTCAGACTTCCGGTCACGTGACAGCACCTCCTCGATGAGGTGCTTTACTTATTAAATTTACCCTACTCTGACTCACTCCAAAACCATTCGCTTCTCAAGTTAACAGACGTTCTTCTAACTGAGATTTTGCATGTCACACTAACCAGGTCACGATGCCAGATATCACTGGTGTAACAGCGTCTATGTGTACACCCCAGTGTAGTGTGCACAGTACAACTGTAGAGTCAGGTACAAGGTGAGTGTGTGGTGATCAATGACATTCTGTTTTCCATCAAATACCATTGACGAAAACGATTCTCGAAATATAGGTAAAGACAAGCAGTGTTGTTACTCTAACAGTCTATCTTTGAGGATTTAGGTTGCATATGCTAGCATACAAATATACCTGTGTATTACATACTCTTACCCGGAGACCTTCATGTTGTTTACAAACGATTGTTCCTTTTAAAGTGGCAGTTACACTTTCATGAATTATGTTAATTACATGGTGTTTGTGTTCGTGTCAACGTTAAATTTACCCCCATTCATTAAGACCATCTGTACATTCAATGTCTTATAGTTATATAGTTGCCCATATGCACATGTATCTCAGCTACCTAACCCTTTATCAATGAGTCTGTCTCAAAACTACCCTGATCAGAGTTCAATTTTTCGAAAGGCTGTAGGCCCGTGGAATTTGAAATTTGCAGTCATTCTGATTGTGACGTAATGTCTACCACGTTACAATACCCTGTCTTCCAAATGGTATGTCTGTGTGTTCTGTTCCACCACCTGTTACGCAGCTTCATTGAATTACAATTCCAGTACGATATACAATGGCAGAGGTGACAACAAAGTCAGTGATAAATAATATTCTCTCATCAGAAGCAGTGCTCACGTTTTTAAAATACGATGTTCGTAGATGATCACAGAATGCTGGACACCACTGTCCTCAAGGGACAATCTCAACATTGGTGTGCTGCAGTACACAGCCATATCACACAAACAATCTTGGTTATTAGTGTCACATTTCATGTGTAAAGAAACTGTGGAACATGAATTGGAATGGATGAAAGGCTCAACTGTAAATAGTATGTTAACTAGGAACATGAACACAGAAGGAACAAAAGTTCATCTGTAAAACGTATCTTATTTTTTTCCAGAATGTGGATAGGAATGAGACTTGCATTGGCGACGCTTCTGACGTTGTTGCTGGTGCTGCCTACTGTGAAATCACAGAAAGTGTCAACTTTAAATGGCCCACTTCTAGGACAACAACTGTCAGTGTTGGGCAAGTCTCTTGACGTATTCTATGGAATCCCATATGCGAAGCCTCCTGTAGGCGATCTACGCTTCAAATACCCTCAGCCTTCAGAGTCATGGGGACCGGAAGTAAGGGATGCACAAAACCCGACGCCATCTTGCTTCCAACCAATAGGTGCTCATAACACAGATGAGAAGCACAAGCAGATGCCCGATGATTACAGTGAAGACTGCCTCCATCTTACAGTGTGGGCGCCATCAGACAATAGTGGCAATCTGGCAGTGATGGTCTGGATTCACGGCGGAGGCTTCTATTTTGGATCTACAAGACTACCACTGTATGAAGGAAAATACATTGCAGCAGAGAATGGAGTCATCGTTGTTTCAATTAATTACAGATTGGGGCCTTTAGGGTTCAGCTACCTTGGTCCAGATACCATCCCTGGCAACATGGGCTTGATGGATCAAAGATTAGCCTTACAGTGGGTGAAAGACAATGTTGCCAACTTTGGTGGAGATCCAACCCGAGTCACCATATTTGGAGAAAGTGCTGGTGGTGTCTGCGTGGGTCTACACCTGGTGTCACCTCTGTCACGTGACTTGTTTGACAGAGCAATCACACAGAGTGGGACCCTCACTTGCTCATGGACATACATGGCGCCCAAAACAGCAAAAGGAAAATTGAAGAGATTTGCTGATCTCCTTGAATGTCCTTCATCTTCAACTGATACAGAGATATATGACTGCTTGAAGACAGCAGATGCACAAACTATGGCAGACCTTCAGCTTGTTTTGTTAGATGAAGGAACAACATTTCCTCCAGTTGTGGATGGGTACTTTGTCCCCGATGACCCCAAAAGTCTTCTGTCCACTGGCTCCATCAAGCAGACCAGTGTATTGCATGGTTTTACTAAAGATGAGACAACACTGTTTTCTGCAATGACATTGAAACGTTCCCTGAGAAACGTGTCCACACTACCTGAATCACTGATTTTAAGTCGTCAAGAATATGATAGTTTTCTTTCATTTGACATTGTCACTGGAAAGGACATTGGAGAGTCTATTCGTCTATTTTATGAAAGTCAGATACCCCTTCTAAAGGACAAGGACTATTTTGATGTCGTAACTCGTGCAACTTCAGACAGGAAATTTAAGTGTCCTCATCTTGAGTTTGACAGATTGTACTCTCCTGCCAACCCTACCTATGTCTACAGTTTTAATCGCCGACTGTCAGTTAGTCCAAATCCACAGTGGATGGGAGCACCCCACTGGTACGAGCTTGACTTTGTGTTTGGTTGGGTTCTGGATAAGTCTCTGGGATGTACAGAGGAGGAGATGGAACTCAGCAGGACCATCATGACGTACTGGACCAACTTTGCCAAGTCGGGGTGAGTGAGTGAATGAATGAGCGAGTGAAATGGTATTATTTTAAATGACATCATGTAAATGTTACTAATCAGGACGATCAATATTTTGTTTCAAATATTCAAGATCTTCTGAAGTTTTCGTATCTATATACAGCAATCCGAACGCTCCTGTCCCCATCAAGGTGAACTGGCCAGCCTCTGACAACACTAATCTCTCCTACATGGCCCTTGACGTGGGCAGCAAATTAGCAGCAGGACACGGGGTAGTCCACCACGAATGTGTTTTCATCAACAGGATTCTACCCATGATTTCTAAAGGTAATAGTATGATGGGATATCATTTTTTAACAGTTACATGCAATACATGTTTTTATGTTGAAATCACTTAACGGAATACCATAAGTTCATTTCAGTATGGTCCAATCAAGTGGTTCATTCAAATGCTATAATGCCATTATGTCTGTGCCAACATGTACCCATTAAGAGTTTTCTCAGAATTTTCATGTTAATTTCAAAATGTCACTACTGATATGCCTGGTCCTTACAGTTTGATCGTAGAGATAATTTCTAGTGTCTGTGCTTCTCCTACCTGAGACGATATGCTCCTAGAGGCAGTGGGGTAGCCTAGTGGTTTAAACGTTTGCTCGTCATGCAGAAGACCCAGGTTCAATTGCCCACATGTGTACAATGTGCAGAGTCCATTTCTAGTGTCCCCCGCCATGATATTGCTGGAATCTTGCTAAAAGCGGTGTAAAACCATACACACTCTCTCCCTCCCTCACCTTTATGCTAAAAGTAAATAACTGTAACAAGATAAGGGCAACAATACCCCAGATGCGTCTTATTGCAACATGATCGACTGAAGGCTGCAAATTGTTGAGAATGTACATTGTTTGTTCATGATACAAACGTGCAGCCAGGGAAATCATGAATTTATCCTTGTGTTTCAGACCCACCGGAAGGGCAGGAGTATTGCACAAAAGGATGAAAGTACAGCATTATAATACTCAGAGCCGCACTATAATAATCTAACAATAAGGTTTGACATTGCCAGGAACAGATTATTGTCCAAAGTCGTAGAGAGTCCTCAGAGATACTGTGACACCTATAGTCTACACTCAACCACCAACCCCTATGTAGCCATCAATGATGTGATGAAATAAATAATTTGCCAGCATTCTGTTGTTCATTATGGTGGGTACCCAATCTTAGAAACACTGCATAGCTCACATAGGCAGTATTATTCCCATGGGGTTGAGAATGATGATTGAAGATATATGGATGTCCTGTTTAGGAAACAAACAGACCTGTATTTAGCATATACTATCATCCGAAAAAGATTGGTATATTAATGCATTATTTATATCAGCATCCGATAAGTCAGATGCAACTCCGTATAGTTATGTATCACTTTTAAGCTGGAACTACAATCCGTTTGAGTCAGAAACGGACCGATGAATTGCAAATTTTATCATTGTACAAAATTGCCACATAAATATAAATAGTACACATGTTTATCATTTACTAATACCCAACAGCTTTCTTATATTTGAAAACTAATCTTCATAAAGTTTGTATATAATTTTCATTTTCGATAATTCTACACCACCTTAAATCTCCAACAAACCGCTTACAAACACAAAATGAACAGTCAAAAAGTAGTTTCTGTCGGTATGTGCAAGACGTCACGGAGTGCGGTTTAATCGAATGAAATGCACTGATATGCGTTGGTCTCATATAATTCCCCTGATTGATATGCTTTACTTGTGTGGAGGTTTAATATCAGTATATTGCATAGTGTACAGTGTTGCTATTTAGCTGCGTGACACATCGGGACTACTGTAAAATTATAGCACTTCACTTCACGTTGTCGGCCTCACGTTGTCGGCCTCACGTTGTCAGGCTCGGTGACTGCTCATACAAACAGTCGTCAGAAAGTTTGGGAAACAAGGTTTTTCAACGAAGCTGTTCACCGACTCCAAATTATGCATGTCATCCAGCGATGTCCCAGATATTACCATACGACCAGCAGCACAGTGCAGTAGTGTCTCAAATGAACATAATTTACAGAAAAAAGCAGTTCATGTTAAAAATATATAATAAAAAGGAGCTCTGAGACTTTCTTCATTTTCAGACAGTTAAACTGAAATCTAGACTTGCCACATATTTTAGACTTGCATGGGCTTTCTTAGAAATCTTTGTTGCAGGGACTGTATGACAGACTAAATACAGTACATGTCTGGTGACTAGTGAGTGAATGAGTTCAGTTTTACGCCGCACCTGGCAATATTCCAGCTATATGGCGGCGGTCTGTATATAATCGAGTCTGGACCAGACAATCCAGTGATCAACAGCATGGGCATCGATCTGCGCAATTGGGATAAGATGACATGTGTCAACCAAGACAGCGAGCCTGACCACGTGCACCCGGTCCCGTTAGTCGCCCCTAGCGACAAGCATGGGTTATTGAAGATCAATTCTAACCCAGACCTTCACGGCTGTCCGGTGACTAGTGTTTCCCCTATACAGTGCCCTTTTTAGTTGGCGCCTGGCTGTTTTTATTTGAGCGCCTTGCTGTTTTTGTTTGTCGCCTTTCACTTCTTTGCTATAAAATAATTCATGTTAACACGTATGCATGTATGATTTTTAATTCAATACTTGTAAATCTGTCACTGCATGCCCATTTTGGAATAAGGGTGCCCCTTTGGAAATTCTGTCGTCCTGCCTTTTTGGATCCTGGGGAAAACACTAGTGATCCTGGCCCCACATAAAATGGGGGTTTGTCTTTTGCATTCAACAATATATCGCCTTACCTCGAAAACACGAATGTTAGCTTGTATGCACAAAACTCTGTGAATAATTAGATATGCTATTACACGCCATGAGTAAAGAGAGTACTTGGTGTGAAAGTGTAAAAAAAAATTACACCTGGGCCTAGATTTTCGAAGGTCTCTTAGCGCTAAGATAGTCGTAAGTGCCATACATTAACATTAACTTACGACTATCTTAGCTTCGAAAATCTAGGCCCTAGATTTAATAGAGGAAATACGGTAGATGAGGGGGCATGTAAATAATCGAATGTCGGCCAGACACTAATATTTGAGTTGGGTGGGGTGAGGGGTGCAATTTAAGTCCCTCGCCGCACGGTCACGGTGACCTGCATATATCATTGTCGTCAAGCATGATCTACCCATCCAGCAGGACGTTTTGAACAGGCAGCATAGGATTCAGTTTTCCCCTCTGTATGCAGTCTTGGCGGGTCCTGGGTTCGTTAAAACACTCATGTGTCGAGCTCTGATATGTCGAAGTCACTGTTGTGTTGAAGTGAGAGCTTTGTCCCTTGTCACCCTTTTGCGGTTGTGTCGAACCCCAGATAATAATTGGGGGTCCCCGGGGCGCCCATGTTTGTGAGTCGAGGTAAAACCAAGTGACTCGATAACTGTAAAACGAGAAATTTTCCCGCCTTTAAATCTTATTTTTTTAAATTGTTTTTAAATATGTTATATTATAGTATAATATGGAATAAAGTGAGTATCGTCAGCATACTGTCCTAGTTTATGTTCAAAATCATTAAGTGTTAGACCAAAAAGTTAACTTACGAGATTTTTAACATCAACAGGAAGTGGGACTCAAGCTTGGTTTCACCATCGAATCAAAGAGATATAGTGTATATTGTATTGATAAGTGTAACATTCAACTTCTGCGTAAAACAAAACACATGGCTTTAGTAGCTTGATGACAGAGATTTGACATAGATCATTTGAAAGAACATTTTCTATCAAAAATAACTTCATGAAACATAATAACAGTTTTCACCTAACTGGTTGAAATATCCAATTAGAACATACCTATGTATACATTGATGTTGCCCTAATTAATCCCTATTCTAGTGTGTAACTAATGGGAGTAAATCGGGCACTTGGACGTCGGGTATGCAGGCTTCATCAGTGTAGCCGATTACTAACACACTAACCCGTTTCACTGTATACTTCAAAATCTACCCCAACCGCTTGCAAGAAATTCATAAGACATTTTCAATAGAATAATCAATATCTAACCCCATATACAATCACACAACCTCGTTCCCAGTCACCCAAAATGAAATATTCCCTACTTTTTTAACTGTAAATATGAATCTCGGGTAACTGAGTTAATATGAACAGTTTCTTGAGCGGAGCTGTACCTCGACTTGAGGTGGAGAATCAGCAAGTCATCCAGCTAGGCCGTCAGCCTGATTAAGTATGTGTAGACTAGACACAGGGGGACTTTGGCCATTCAGTTAATGGTGTTTGGAGGGGGATAAAATGACATGATTTTAACCATGTCATCAAACAATACAGGTTTTTCCGGGTTTTCTGAAACAAATATATAATAGTAGTAATAATAATGATGGGTATTATATAGCGCTGTATCCATCCACAAGGTGCATGCTCAACGCGCATATGGGCCCTGAGGAATTTCCTAGTGGCCCAATAAAAAGTAATAAATATAGTTGTCCATAAAACGGTATGCAGTCAGATGATCCTGACATATCCCGTAGTGGTTCCTGAACAGTATCGGACTGAAAGAATGGGTGAGTGAGTCCGTACGTGCGTGCGTCCGTGAGGGAGCGAGGAAGGGAAGGAGCGAGGAAGGGAAGGAGTGAGTGAGTGGGTGATGGACTCTCGTGATGAAAGTACAATACTGTTGTACAACACTCAATCACTTATGCACGCACTGCCTCACTCACTCTAAAACCATTCGCTTCTCAAGTTAACAGACGTTCCGGACTCACCTGTAACTGAGATTTTGCATGTCACACTAACCAGGTCACGATGCGAGATATCACTGGTGTAACAGCGTCCATGTGTACACCCCAGCGTAGTGTCCACAGCACAACTGTAGAGTCAGGTATAAGGTGAGTGTGTGATGAAAAATGACATTCTGTTTTCCATCAAACACCGTTGACGTATACTGTTGTCGGACTATAGGTAATGACAAGCAGTGTTGTTACTCTAACAGTTTATCTTTGAGGATTTAGATTGAAAATGCTTGCATACAAGTAGGCCTGTATATTACCTGCTCTTACCCAGAAACTTTGATGTTGCAAATTGTTTACAAGCGATTGTTCCTGTTAAAGAGGCAGTTGCTCCTTCATGCTGTGTTTTAATTGCATGGTGTTGTTTGAGTTCGAGTCAACATTAATAATGCATAAATACGTTCAGATGTACCTCTGTTCATTCAGCAATACAAGGGTACCAGTAGGGAATAGATTGTCATGTGACTGTAAACCAAGTTCAATATTCCGAAGAATGAAAATTGATGGCAGATTCATCCACTAAAGGGGTAATACGATTATTTACCAATCATTTGACAATCTTGACCACTTGGGCGTCTCTTTAAATTCAGTGACGTCATGTCTACCAAGTCACCATATATCGAAGTGATTACTTAACTGTGGGTGAGTGGTTCAGTGAGTGAGTGGTTGAGTGAGTGGTTTAGTGGTTGAGCGGTTGAGTGGGTGAGTGAGTGAGTGACTTTGGGCTATAAAGTTGAAAGTAATATGCTGTTATAGAACACTCACTCACGTATGCACGCATTGACTCACTCACTCTAAAACCAATCAGTTCTCAATTGAACAGACATTCCGAACTCACCTATACCTTGTCAAAGACAGACATCTTATGAACGCACCACCATTTCGCTTTATCGCCACGCCTAAACACAACGCATGGGATGCACGTGCACAACGCAGTAGCTCCATACACGTGCATGGGGTGTCATTTTTTTATTTTGACGGTTTTCAAAAATATCGAAAAATCATTTTCACAATCATTTTGCATCACATATTTTTAGCCGTTTTGGTTCTTTTTCGTTTGAAAATGAAAATCATATACATGCAAATTTCACGTCATACACATATCATCTTTCAAGAGCGATAACTGTACGAACAACTATGGTCATAAGAAAGTGCAAGTGGTGAACAGTCTCAAAACAGTCATTCTTATAATATCCATGTTCATTGACCATATATCGCCCAATTCTTTCAATCGTAAAATATAAATGAGGTTTCCCTACTTTTCTTGAGGAGCATATATCTGAGATTTTGCAAGTCACGCTAACCAGGTCATATCACTGGTGTAACAGCGTCTGTGTGTACACCCCAGTGCAGAGTCCACAGTACAACTGTAGAGTCAG